GTTTTTTTTACAACAAAGGTTATATATGTTGCTACATATGAACTTTCTGTTGGAGAACATGCAGATAATTATGTGGTGTTTTTTACAACAAAGGCTATATATGTTCCAACAAAATAATAAAAATAATAATCATTAATATTATCAGCAAAAATGAACACTTCACCAATTATTTTTACAACTTATCAACAAAAAAGGTCAATGGTATACATAACCATCAAAACTAAATCTAATCAATGGTGGTAACCATAACAGTTTCATCTGAACACTACTAATAAAATATTCATGTTGCTGCTCACATCCTTCGCATCGACAAGAAGAGCATTTGATGTTAGATGAGGAAGCAGCACTAGCAAAAGATTGAGTTGTTGCCACAGATGAAACTCCTGGTGACATTTTATCTACAAGGTAAATCAAATAATAAAGGTACAAATTTATACTTATGTTAACACAGATGAACATTATGTTGCCACAACTGTACCTTCTATTGACACAAATGAATCTTCTGTTACTACAAATGATCATTCTGTTGCTCTAACACATAGGTGACATGTTCCAACATATGACAACTATGTTGGAATATGAACCAACATATCACTAATATGTTGCAACATACGACACAAGATGAACAAAATGTTGGACAACTGAACAAAATTAAATTTCTACAATCATATAAATAAAATGGTCACAAAAAGAAGAACAAAAATGACTCTTCACTAAACAACAACAAAAATGATTCTTCACATATACATTTCCTAAAAATTAGGATTTTTTTGGGTTTATCAATTTTCTTTTAAAAACAAAAATAATAGGTACCATTACACCATTATTCAATTTTTCACATCTATAGAACAATTTCTTGTTCATTAACCCAAGAACATAACTTAGTATCAAGAGTTTCTTCGAAATTGTAAAATCTTTCAAAAAAATGACTTTCCCATTTTAAGTCGAACCTGATCTTCAATTCAGAAAGAGGAGAGAGTCACAGCCGGAGATGAGGAGGAAGATAAGATAATGGGGAGAATATTTGTTTTGATAGTCGAATTTTCGAATTTTCTAAGGAAGAAGAAGAGAAGAGAGAAAAGAACGTTGGGAGAAGAAGAAGAAGAGAAAATTCTATTTTCTTTTACTTTTTTTAAATGATTTGGATAGAATTATAAAAGTTGAAAAATGAAGTGTTTTTTTGTTCCTAGAATGTTTTGAAGTGTTTTTTTGTTCCCAGAAAGTTTTGAAAATGTTAATTTGGTCCCAGATTTACTTAATTACTACTTAATTACATTTTAAAGTGAATTTGACCATTTTTTGATCAAAATATCACAAAAAACAAAACCTAAACTTAATTGATACCTTTCATTTAATTTTCTCAAGTAAATATATGTATATAAGTAATTTTCTGTAAAATATATTGGGGCTCTTAGTTATGTGCATCCATCTCCCTCTTTCCCCATCTTGTACTGGATAAGGAAATCCTAAAACAGAGCGTTTCCCCCCTTCCTCCTCTCTTTCTCAGCAAACCAATCAGCGATGTCTCTCTCTTCTTTCTCTACAATGCCCACAGCCAAGCTCCGCCTCAAAACCCTACCCACTTCCACCACAATCACACCCTTAACTCTGCACTCTCCATTTCTCCCTTCTTTCCGACTCCCCAAGCATAAACCCCTTTCAATCCTCCGCATCTCAACATCTCCCGCTATCTCTGCCTCACTTGAAGCTGGAGTCGGAATAATGGCAACCAAACTTGGAATGATGAGTTTCTTTGAAGATTCAGGAACAGTGGTGCCTGTTACTGTTGTAGGTTTTCGCGAAGGAAATATTATTACTCAAATTAAAACTGAAGCTACTGATGGATATAGTGCTGTACAAGTTGGGTATCGACGAGTTCGTGATAGAAAATTAACTAAACCTGAAATGGGTCATCTTGAAAAATCTGGGATTATTCCTCTCCGTCATTTGCAGGAGTTTCGTCTTCAGTCTGTTGATGGATTTGAAGTTACACAGAAACTTGATTTTAATGAACTCTTTAAAGAAGGTGATTTGGTCGATGTCGCTGGTACAACCATTGGAAAAGGATTTCAAGGTCTGTTTCTCTACAACTCCAATTTTCCTAAAGATTGCATTTTCGGGTCATTATCTAAATTTAGCCTTATTTATCCTCCTATGAAGTACTAGGCTTGGCAGTATTTTGGATAAACCAGATTAGTGCCTATTTCAATTGTTTTTAAGTGTTTGGGCAAAATTATATAGTGCTTATTTTTAAGTCAAAATAACAAAAATAAGCCAAAGCCATAGGTTAGAAATCGTAACTTAAAAGGTTTTTGGTTTTTATAAGTCATAAGCCAAAAACCAATCCAAACAGGTCCTAAGAGTTCATCCCAATTTGATTAATGAAGTGTACAATTGACCTTGATTTTATGTATTGTGATTAGTTTTTTCTTATCATCAGTGAGCTATGAATATATTGTCTTACATAAGTGAACTGTGAAATAGAGAACTTGTATTGTTAATGAATCTAGTTTCAAATGGATATTCTAAATTCATATAGCCAGCTTTGACTAGCTTGGGATAGAGGCGTGGTTGGTGTTGTTATTTAAAAGCGAAGTGGCGTTTGGTTTTAGTAGCGTGATACATCTGAAATACCAAGTCTTTGGTTTTGCATTATTGCGGTCTGTTATGTTATTGCAATTCATTTATTCACGCACACCTTAAACCAGAATGTATTATGCATCACTATAGATGTAAATATGATATTTTACTTATCTATAAGGCTACTTGATATGCCTGTTACATGAGCTACATTATATCATTAACTTTTTGGCCAATTGGTTTGTATTAATGCTTCTATTGATATTTCCCAATAACCGGTACTTTTGTCTGTAAATACTGCAATTCCATCTGAAAATGGCATTGTAATTGAACATCATGGTAGCTCCCCTCTTCATGTTGCATGGCTCCAGCACCTAAATAAGCTTCATTAATGAATATCTTGATATTCTGGTTAACATGACTTACTATCATAGTATATACCATCCTCTGGTGTCGATCATAGTGTTTATTTATGCTGATTGATTCCAGTGTACATTTTCAGATGTTTAAATGTGCAAGTAGGATTTATCAGCTTTTCACGTCTTAAAAGTTTTCCAAACAACAAGCTTTATTATATAACCTTCTCCTAATAACCTGAATAGTTGTTTTAGTATCATCTAGACGAGACTTCCATGTATTGACATATTGTAACTATTAAGTCAAGGTACAGGTAGTTCTTTGGTTCTCTATTGGTGGCGGTCTAGACTCTAGATATAGCACTCACTTACTTGAGAAGTGACTTTATCTCAAATTTGATTATCTTTAAAGAAAGCAAGTTCTATTTATCATATCTTGTTTTTCCCTCTCTCATTGTTGGCACTGGTGGAATTGGCTTGCAGGTGGTATCAAGAGGCATAATTTCAAGAGGGGTCAAATGACTCACGGATCAAAGAGTCATAGACAACTAGGATCAATTGGTGCTGGGACAACCCCAGGGCGCGTATATAAGGGCAAGAAAATGCCTGGACGAATGGGAGGCACGAAGACAAAGATTAGAAAGCTCAAGATTGTCAAGATCGATGATGAACTCAAGATTCTAATGATCAAAGGAGCTCTTCCTGGTAAGCCTGGAAATCTTTTGCGAATAGCTCCGGCCAAGATTGTAGGCAAAAACATCCCCAAGAACTAATTTTTTTCCCTCTCTTCTCAACTCTATGAAGTGATGTAATTTATTCTTTTAAATTATGATACTGCCTTCTCTCTGTGTTTTGTCACTATGTCGTCATTTCATAGGCTGGCTAATGTTTCAACCAATCTCTACCTTCAAGTTTTATTTGTCAAATTTCTTAGCTAAAAATCTTCATTTTCAACAAGTCTATGAAAATGTGTAGTTTTATATCTGTTTTTTGGACTTGAAGGAAAGGATTTTACTCACTCCCAACTCATTATAGGGGTAAAAAAACATTAATATAGATTTACCATTTAAGAAACAAAATAACCCCTATATAACAATAGTTTGCTTTTTTTCTAAACATAGCAGTAGAATTCTAACAAAACAAAACAAACTAGGTAAAAATAAAAAAGCACACTTTAAACCAACGACTAAGATGATTTTTTAATATTCCTTCGGTAGTTTTCTCCCCATCAATTTTTCAATTTCCATGATTCTCTCTCAATCGTCAATACAAAAGCTTCTCTCTCATAACCACAAAAACACTCATTCTATTCACGAATCAAAATATCAATCTGTTCAAAGCCATTTCATCGTATGAAACAAATTAATGACGAAAATTCGCAACATATCAATTTGTAAAATAGTGTTTTTTCATGTACTATAAACTTTAAAGTACATTTCGATTTTCGTCTAAAGTTTGGCATTTAAAACGATTATAGTTTAATTGGTGTTTTATTGTTAGGAAATTGTATAATTTTGGTGCAAAAATATTTATTTTATAGACGACTATATTATAGTGTAAGTCATTATAATTACAAAAGAGAAACGGAACACTAACATTATACCACATTGAACACCAATTTATTTACATAAGAATTGATAATAACACCAACTTTACAAATCTACACCATTTTTATACATATCGTTAAACACAGTGTTTTAAAAGACTTTGTTGAGACTCGCCCTGGGGTGGGGCTCTAGCAAAACGCCTCGAGACTCAAGTGTGGGGCTTAGTTCTATAAGACTTACGTCCCAAACGTCCGACTGTACGCCCTAAGCATGCTCAACGCCCAACGCTTGGGGTCGCCTAACAGATCTTGCACAAATTATGTATTAAAATTTGGGAGAAGGGACGGATTTACCCCCGAACTTTAATAAATGGTACGTCTATGCCCTCCGTTATACTTTCCGTCCACATAAGCCCCTGCCGTCCAATTATAGGTACACACATACCCCTCGCACTAACGGCCCCCTCATTTTTTACACGTGTCTTAAATCTAATCAACTACCCGTTTGACCTTTCTTTTTAACCCATAAACCAACTACCCGCCCCATAAACCCAATACCCACCCAACTTCCTCCCGAATCCGAGCTTGAGATCAAGCTCCACAGTAACACTAACTTTTTTGTTAAATTCATTAGAGCTAAATAAATGCGCAGTTGAAGTTACCACTGAGCATTTTCTTTGATTATTAGCAACAGCGCCACCATTTTTCATTTTCATTTTCATTTTCATTTCACGAGACGAATTTGAAGATGATGACGTCGATGTTGGTGAAGTAGGCAGAGGAACAATCGGAGGAATTTGGAAATTTGTTCGAGCTTTTGAACCTCTCAACCACCTCGCCGCCGCGTCGTACGCACGCGCCGCCTCCTCCGGCGTGTCGAATGTACCCAGCCAGTGTCTGCACCGCCCTATACGGTCGCGAATCTCCGCTGACCATCTCCCCCATGGCCTATTTCTCACTCCTCTGTAACTCTTCTCCACTGATGGAACATTATTATTATTATTCCTCTTTTCTGCAGGACACGTGCGTTTCAGAATTGAAACTGCTGAATTTGGATCATCATTCTTGTTTTCATTGTTATTGTAACCGAAAAGAACATGTTCTCCAACAACAGCAGCAATTCCTTCAAGAACATGGGATTTTTCATTTTCATTTTCATTAGCAGAACAGAGTAATTATCCCAAAATGGGTCGAGGGAATAATTAGTGTTGTCAATGGAGAAATTATGATTTGGTTCATTTGGGTAATAAAGGGGTTTTTGTGTAGAGAAGAAGAATAGGATATATCTTAGAGGAAATTGGGTGGGTATTGGGTTTATGGGCGGGTAGTTGGTTTATGGGTTAAAAAGAAAGGTCAAACGGGTAGTTGATTAGATTTAAGACACGTGTAAAAAATGAGGGGGCCGTTAGTGTTTATTAAAGTTCGGGGGTAAATCCGTCCCTTCTCCCTTAAAATTTTTAGTTAACATTGTTGACCCTCATAATTCTTGAATAAATGAATGAAACCTAATAATTTTTTAATCTATAGAGATAAGAAGATTGAGAGTAACTCAAATAACAAGTTGTAGTATCGGATCTTTACTATTTCGTAACACTGTGAAGGTGATTGTATATTACGTAACATTCCTTTTAAAAATACGTAGCAAAATTTTATTTTTTCACTGATGATTGGTCTTCATGGTTTTGTCATGTCTCAAAATTATCATATTTTATTTAGCTATTTGAAAGTAATTTTATTTATATTCATGATGGAGTGATGTTTTTATTATAATACTAGCAAGTTTTATTGGTTATTTTCTTTTAGGGGGGTAAATTGTATAGTATGATAGAAACAATTTTTTTAGAAATTATGATTCTTTTATTATTAGAAAGTTAAGATGTTAGATTATTTATACTTGAATAATCATGTTAGAAGTTTTATTTATGAATTTCTTTAATCATGTTTGTAATTGTTTCAAACTATTGATGTATTTTTATAATTTTGTTTTATTATATTATTATACTATATTGTAAATTAAAAATTTAAAGATCCATAGGGCTTATGCCCCACGTCTCAAGGCTTACGCCTCGCCCTATACTAAGTAAAACGCTCTGCCTCACGCCTCGGCCTTTTAAAACACTGGTTAAACATATTTAATCATTCTGATGGTGAAATATATACTAAGACCAATGTTGTACCACAATGCATACCATTATATATATGAGAAAATACATAATTACCCCATTAAAGTAAGACCTATTTTTGAAAAAGACACTCAAACTTTGCGGTGGTCCTACTACCCACTGAACAATTTGAAAGTAATATAAATACCCCATTTTTGGGTCAAACCCACTTATAAGAAAGAAGGTGAAATCACGCACCAATTGTTACTTGCCATGTGTCAATTTTATATAATTTTCCAATCTTTGATTTTATTTATGTTTTTTTTTTGTTAGTTTTGATTCTTTATTTTTTCTTTCTTCTTCGCTTAACCCATCTGTTGGTCTTCTTCGTCCTGGAGTGGCCGCCATTGCTACAACACCATTCACAACACTAAATCAAAATTAAAACTGGAAAATCAAATCCGCTTTCAAAGTTAATTTTTTTCAAATTAAAATTTCTATCAAAGTCTTCTTTTTATTTATTTTGCCTTTGATTTTTGCTCTAAATCAACCTGGGTTGTATTTGAAAAAAAACGAAAATTCTCTCTCCGAACGCAGATGATATTATTTTTGCTTGATCTTAACATGATTTTAGCCATCGTAAATTGAAATGCCGACGATTCTATCTTCGAAGTCGCCATCATCTTCCTGGAGCTTCTCACCCCAGCCGGCCAAGAAGGAGGAGAAGAAATTTGAGGATGAAACAACAAATATGTTGTTGCTTCCGTTATCAATGGAGTTTTTTTGTCATTGATCATACTAAAAAGGCATTTTCTTTTATGGACTGAGATTGTATTATTTAGTTACAATCAAATCTCTCCGTCGAAATCCAATCTAAATGAAAAACGAAAAGAGAGAAAAAAGAAAGAAAGAAACTTCAAGTTGTTGTCGTCTCCTTCAATGGTGAAGCTTATGAAGGAGAAGAAAGAAAAAAAAAATCAAAACAGTAAAATAAAAGATTATTTATTTAGTTAATAAAAATATTGCAAAAGAAAAGTTTAATCTTATTTTTTTTGGTTTCCACGCTCTTTAGGTGAGTGATATACACTCTCTTTATAAAATATCAAAAAATGGTTCAATAATTTCATATTAAACTAGTTTAGGGGTGTATTAGGACCCTCGCAAAGTTTGAGTGTCTTTTTGAAAAATATATCTTACTTTAATGGGGTAATTATGTATTTTCTCTATATGTATTGATAATTTTATAAAGAATGTTATTTAGTATAATAAGACTTGCTTCCCAATTAGATGTGAACACATTAATATTTGATTATTTGTTATTTGTGAGTGATCAATGCCCATTAATGATCATCCATCGTAATTTAGACATTAGTTTTTTTGTGTTTAGGCAAAACAAAACAATCATTGGAGATCATTGTAGACTATTTTTTGGTTATATGGCATTATATTAAACCACATTGTACACCATATAAATCAACTTGATGATGCTAAAAAGTTGCACATACTTTGATTAGATTATGTTGCTATGCATTGTAGGGTTGTAATATATAACCAAAATCAATTTTTTTTTTTAAAAAGAAGCCAAAAACCATTTTTTCCCCCTAATTACCTACCTATTGGTTTTTTGCCAAAATATTTGGGAGATACTACTTACAGAGTTGCAGTATCAACTGCGGATATTCCCCACCCAACTATCTATTTGACTCATGGGTTCAAATTCTCAAATGTTGTTACATACCAATTCCCTAGTTTCAATCTAAAAATTGGATACATCCATTTTCCTAGTGCCCCTACCATGATTTAGGTTAACATGAATAATCTACTTCACCTGGTTCAAATGCAGAAAGGGCTAATAAATAAGTTAGAGCTGCAATGCTAAATCTGGCTGCTGTGGGGATCCAACTCGTAAACTAGAACTAGGGGAGCTTGAAGTTTGGACTTTGACATTCAGGTCCGGCGGATTCGGAAGAGATACCCTATACTGCCCTGCAGATACAGAGGCAGGTTGAGAATCTCCAGAAACCCTCCAAGTCTGCTCTAAATTCCCAGAATGCAATTTACTCCAGCTTTCTCGTAAACTGTTTTCCAGAGAGCAGACACGGTTTGAAGGCGACTGATGAGAGGATGAAACATCTCTTTTAGGAACTGTTCCAGGCAATTGACCACCAGGCCTTGAGGCGGCCTCTTGTAGGCTCGGTTCCCCTTTAGGCATGGACAGCCTTTTTACCTCCATTTGCGCAGACAAATCATACCCAATCATACCACTGAAACCATTTCTTGGGTTGCCGGAAGGTTTCTGCTTAGCCTGGGAGTTAGATGCAGGAAATGCACAGGAAAAATCACCACTAGCCTCTGCTACATCATTTTGGCTGTTCAAAGTCTTACCAGCTTCAACATTTCCATCACTAGGCCTGCACATGACAGCAGAGCCTACTCCCCGAAGAGATGGTATAACGGCTCTAGAAGAATTGTGATCAGCTGCCAAGCAATCTGATGATTTGTTCTGAGATGAAAAAGTTGACATTAATGTTGATCCTCCACCTTCTCCTACCCATCCAGGACCAAACTTTACTTCAGCAGGTAAAACAGTTTCTAACTTCTTAGAAGCTACTTTCCAGACAACTGGCCCAAGATCTGCAGCAAATCTGGCAAGGCTTCTAGCGTATGCATGCTGCTCGATGTGAACACCAACCTGCATTATAGTTAGATTAGTCTTGGTTGCGTAAGACAACATCAAAGATAATCACACACAATCACAAGAAAATAAAGGCATCTTATTTTCTTTCAGGGATGGTGGGACAAGGTAATCTGGCAAGAGTAACAATACACCAGACTGATTACTGCAATTTTTCCCCACTCTTTGATTGCATTGATGGGAGAGGATCAGCCCTAAAAAGTGTTTAGAAGGTCCAGCATGAGACTGTTAATACTTCACAGCAGAATCATTAGTGAAACAAATTAATGTTTGCCCATCCAATATAGTGCACTAAAAACATGAACTTTATCTTGCAGTACAGTTGATATACCTACAAGCAACATAGAGGTGGAAAGGTTTGTTTTTCTCCATTTTCATCAAAGTCGAGTCTTAGAAGGTAGTGTTTTTATCATTTTTAATAGGTAGTCTTAGAAGATAATGTGTACCGGAAATGCAAAATAATAATTTGCAAAACTCGACAGCAGCAGCATAGTATTTCCTGAAAGGCATTGCACAGCTATAAAAAAAACAGTGAAAACGTCCACAACACCCTGCAGTCGTTGAGAGCAGGGAGAAAAAGAAAAATAAAAGGTGAGAAAGAAAGAGAAAGGAAAGCAACATAAGCCACAAGGGTATTTCGTCTAGTGGTAAGAGCACAACATAGGATGTTTAGGTCGAGTGTGTCACAGGTTTGAACCTCAAGTCCTCAACACAGATAAAAAGCCTGGTATTTAAGTGGAGAAGGGTAGAGGGTGGGCCCATCATCCACCGATTTTCAAACCCTGTGTCACTGGCTGTCGAATTTCTCGGTTATTAAAAAAAAATAACATAGGCTTAAAGTACATACTGCCATTAACCGCTTTAGGTCATCAGCATTCCACAACAAAGATGGCTCACTACAAGAAGCTGACTGATGGAATAGTTGGTATGTGTCACGCCTGTTTTCATCAACTGAAAAATGTTTCTTTCCATACTTCAGATCAGCCCTCAAAATGGAAGCTGCACGTAACAAAACAATCAGCTTTTTTCAACAAAATAGAAAAAGAAAAGAGATTGCAGAAAAAGAAAAAAAGAGTGTAAGGTACAAACCTGGAAACTCATTCCAATCAACCAACCATTCAGAATAAGTTTCACCACGAGAGCGATATGTGGAGGATATATCAGCAGAACGGAACTTATAAAGCATAGGTCCCTTTCTTAGATTGTAAGAATTAGATCCACCGACTTTTTCCTCTCCACTAGCAAGAGTGGCGCCTGAAGAAAGCTCAGGAGCAATACAATCAATAGGTGAACCCTCAACAGACATTTTTAGGTTTTTGCTTGGGGGTGGAGAACTCTCTTCAGACTTCTTAAGATTTTTGCTTGGGGGCCGGCCTCTACGAACAACCTTAGGTTGCAGCTCACCATCCTCCCCTTCATGCCTCAAATTATCAAAATCTCTTTTTGCCAGATCTTGAATAGACCGTGCCTAAAGAGCAATATGTTCAGGAAATAATGGAAGCAAAAAAAAATGGAAGCAGACAAAGGCTAATGCGCACCTGCCGAAAGTAAACAGTATCTGAGGCATTATATTGCATTGCATTTGAACATATTAAGAAGACATCAGCCTGCATGAGCCGACATTGTGCCAGAGGTCAGCATCAAATTTTAACTGTTTACCACTCCAGCAGCATTTTCTCAGGACAAACACAATTGCACCCCACCAATAATAAAACATATGATGAAAAAAAAACTAATTGAACCAATAGAAGTATCAAGAAGCGAAAATAAGCAGAAACCTAACACAAATTTTGCTAAACAAAATGAGAAATAAGACACCATGACTAAACAAACACTAGAAAAACATCCTCAGGCTAACGATGATAGTGCATTTGGGTACATTTACATCTCCTTAAGCATACCTTCCCCAAATGCATCATAAATTCTGGAATTTGAGACCTGCATATTTATCGTATTCTTTTAACTTCTTTATATTGATGCCTCTTTTGCTGCTTCTTTTTTTCATCTTTAGAATTAATTTCCAATTCTAGACTAAGAGGGTGTTTGGATTGGCTTAAAAGTTGGTCAAATCTGTTTTTAAGACAGTTTTAAAAACTCTGAAAGTGTTAGACAAATATAAAAAATAACTTAAAATAAGTTAGGAAGTGTTTGACAAGGTGAAAAATGACTTAATATAAGTCAAAAACCAAAAGTTGGTCTCCACCTACGTTAGTTTGACTTTTTATTTTTGACTTAAAAGCTACTCCCTCTCCTTTTTAGCAACACTTTAGCTTCAACTTTCCACGTGACATATTTAAGGCCACAAGATTAAAGGGCATTTTGGTACATTTGACATAACTTTAATTTAGAACAACAAGATTAAAAAGTCTTCTTTCTTTTCTTAAACTCCGTTCCAAGTCAAACTAGGTCATTCTTTTTTAAACGGAGGGAGTACTTTTTTTAAGCCAATCCAAACGGGTTCTAAACAACCAAGAAAGAAAGATGATCATGAGGATAAGTCTTGAATTCTAAACCAACTAAAGATAATAAATATATAAAATCAATTGTGCACGAAAGGCTGATAAGGCCAAGAGGAAGACA